GTGCGAATGAAATGGATGATGGTTTGTTCGTTCATTAGTTTGCCTGTGACAAAACATAAACCACAAGCAAAGCTCTCGTGCAGTAGCAGCAATTTTCCATTTGTACTCAATTATTCTAGCATGTTCATACTTGCATTCGCCTGTTCCGATACTTTCTTATGTCGAGTATTACGTTGTTTGGATTTCTATGTAGCTTAACTGTACCATGTATGTAAATTTATAATTTTTTTTATATACATATTGAAACTCACAAACATATTCTCTCTTCATACATTTTCCGTTGGTCGTGCATAAATGATTTCCAACAAATAGTCAAATTTATAAAACAGTGAATGTTGTTTTTTTTCAACAATCACTTTCATTATGTTCGTAACGGTTTGGTTTTACCATGCCATGCCATGATATGCCATTGCAAGCATTTATTATGTTATTCAGTTGCTGAATGGAAGAGTTTTATGCTATTGCCATACGTGTGTCTTTCAATCTGAAAACCCATTATAATTTTCCCAATCATTAGTTATTGCATAAGCTATTATTTTGTTACAAATATTATTGAATTATATTTAGCCAGCTGCACAAACACTATTTTATGTGATTTGTTGCCAATTGCCACGTGCATTAAAGCTCTCATGCAGAGTAAGACCATTTTTTTTGTTTTTCAAATTACTTGCTCACATTCAACGGTTTAATTTGTGTTTTTGATGACAAAATAAAATAAAAAACAACGAAAATGGTCTTTGAATAACATTTCAATTACTAAATTGATGCTTTCATTTTACGCCATATGAATTATGTGGAATTATTCATAAATAATTGGAGTCCTTTTTATGGCAACTCAAATAGGAAGCACTTAAACTCTTTGAAATTCATTTTCAAGTTGGAAAAATGACATAATTGGAAAAAATTTGAATTATAGCTTATAGCAACAGCAAATCCAACTGAGCGTGCACAATGACAGTGCAGCACTCTGTAGTCAAAGTGGAAAATTTGGAGTTGGGTTTTCCCGGAAAACGGACGTACTTATACGTTGATTCACTCAAAATGTTTTGCAATAAAATGAAAATTATATCAAATTAATGGTTCACAATCGAAGCAAATCATAATATTCATCGAAAAAATCAATCATAATTTATGAAGGAAAAATCGAATGGAAATCGAATCAAATCAAGAGTAACTAATGCAATCTAGGTCGGACTAATTGTGTGTGTTTTTTTTTTTTTTTTTTGATAAAACGACAAATGTTGTGAATTAGCCTAGATCTAAATTGAAATGAAAAGATCATTAAATTATTCGTCATTCAATGTTCAAATGAAGCAATCAGAACATGTTTAATCCAATTCTCAGCGTTAGTTGTAATTCATGTTGTAATTGATGCAAGTCAAACTATTGCACAAAATTATGGATTTTATTGGGTACAACATTGAATGTGGTTTAACATATAGCACTTTTTGAAAAGTGAATGCATTCAATTTTTTCACGCTCGCCGTCGTCGTCGTCGTTTTTTTTATATTAAAATGTTTTACATTGAAGCGGCGAGCATACGGCAAAAAAGGTATGCTACTGGCAGTATTTTCATATAATCTTATGTAACTAGTTCAATTTCGTAAAGGCCAGGTATTGAGAGCATATCGGAATGTAGGAATTATGTTAGTTTCACCCAGTGAAAGTTGTTCAAATTGTGAAATCTGCCACTCTAAGTGTAGATTCAATTTGCGAATGTCAAGTGAAATTGCGCGATTCTAAGATTGTTTTGAAGTTAGAAAAGAGTTACGACAAAGATATCTGGCATTTCTCTTTACTTAATCTCTCGCGTTATGTATACACAAAAGCAATGAAAGCACCTGCAAAACGTCAAACACAATATTTTTTTGCCACGTAAAAGAACTATACACGTATAAACAGTGAAAACTATTTTTGGAAGATTCTCAGCATGAAAAAAAAACAAAAAAAAATAGTTTGAAGCTGCAAATATGTGAATGAAAAACAAACAAGAAACACGAGAAACGAAACAAAAAACCGATGTGATCAAAATAAACTGAATTTTATAAGAGTTAACACTTAACACACGGAGCGTTTTGTTTTTTCTTCTTTGTTTTTGACACAAACATAGAAAGGAATGTGGAGGACTTGAGTCGATTAATATTAAGAATCTGTAGGAAAGAAAAATGTCACTTTAATGCAACTCTTTCAATTCCTTTGCGGGGCATCCATACAAGACAACGGAAACACCCCATCGTTTATATGGAAATGCTTTATATTGAAATCGCCGCAGCATACAATTTTCAATCTCACACACGAATCATTCGCTCGTAAATTGTAGCTGACAATGACGAAATCTGTTATGTTAGAAATCGTGCCAAGCATTTGCCTTATTGTTCTCCAACAAATTTTTGCTAAATATTTGTCGAAAATGCGCTTAAGCAAAATGTTGTTGTTGTTATAGTCTGAATGAGCCAAAATACACGGATTTGTCCGCTCAAAACGATTTATGCTCGTGTGAAGTTGAGGCTCTTTCGAAATCGTATTGTGTGTTGGCACCATTGCGGTTTTGAATACATGCATATATGGATCATGACATACATTTCTCAATTGCATGTGCACATTTCAGTAATGTCATACAGATCTACCTATCTGACTGGCATGAAAGGATGCATTTTATTGATTTATTTGCTGCATTTTGATTTGCTATATAATATCATCAACAGCGATGTACAACAAATCTCGATAAACTCATCCGAATTAATTACAAAATCATATTGAGAGTATGACTAATAAACGAGATAACAATACGCATTTCAATTCGAGTCGATTTTTTATTGCGTATACTTTTCCGTTGTTTCTAGTTTTTTTGTCTAATTTCTTGAGAATGTGTAGGAAATCGCCGATTTCGAAAAAATTCAATAAAAATGTGTTGACTCCTCTCAACAGCTATGTAACATAAAACCGTTAATTATTTATTTTAAGCACGAAATTGGCATCGGATTGAGGAAAATCTATTCAAACAAATTACATCACGCTCAGCTGTCATGGTCATCACGGGTTGATAGCGCTCCTTATCACGATCGACGTCAAAATAATGTTGAAAGTAAATTCTATATTTGTTTGTGAAATTATGTGATTTTTTTTTCTTCTTGTATTCGTCTTTCGTTTATTATACGGATGAATACACTATAATGGCAATGCCATCATTTTTTTTAAATGCATTTTTAGTGCATGGCATAAATCGGTTAATTTATTCATGATGTCAATGAGAAACGACGGAAGCACAATTTCAAAGCATCTGCATCTTGTCTCTCAAAATAACGAGCACATAAAATACCTATTTTTAATGGAAAAGAAATCGAAAATTAATGAGATAAATGAATTGAGTGAAGTAATCAGACCATGTGTCTCAAATCGTCATATGTTTTATTGAAATGCAACCGAAAGGAAGAAAATGAGAATTTGCAGAATAACCAAATCGAATGAAACATAGAAATGGCATGAATCAATGTCAGCTCAAATTAAACGCGCTGTTACTTGTCGCGCTGCATCGCTATGTTAATTCGAATAGGTCATGCATTGTATTCACTCACCCACACATAATTCACCTAGCATAATACCTTTGCCTAGTTTTTCTTCTTTCAGCCAGAAATCACACATCTGATCTATACTTAGAAAAAGTAAATGTACTGTTCATTACAAGAAAGCCATTTTGCAGCACGTTTTTAGCCTAAATTTCGTATGTGCAATGTTTGTGCTTCATAAATCATAGCACACCGCGTAAAACTGTTATGTAGAATCAATGCCTCTCTCGATGCACACATATATGCATTCGTTTTGTGTAGTCGTGTGTGCACCGTTTCGACATACACCGTATGCACATGCATATTTCTCTTTTTTCTTTTCATTTTTATTTTTTTTTTTTCTAGCTAGCAAGCACAGAGCCGCAACAGAAAATCGAATAATTAAACGTCATACGCCAAATCTGTGCTAAATAAAATAACAATAAAATGAATTTGAGGGTATTCGAATGGCATTGTAAAAATATAAAATAACAGTAGTCGGAGACTTTGAGGCGAAATTAACAATATTCATTTGGTTTACAACGGTTTCGAAATGAACGAGAGAGAGAGAGAGAGAGAGAGAGAGAGAGAGAGAGAGAGAGAGAGAGAAACAGAATTATTAGATAATGAGAAGATATGAAAATTTAACAAAATTCAAAATGAAAATCAAAAACCAATCGCATCGCACAAATAAGTTTAATTGGTTCACATTCCGACATTGCGCTGATTGCATGCACAACATTTGAGAAGGTCACTCATAATGCCATTTGGGCAAAATAAAAGGGAAAAAAAAGAACAAAACGAAACAAAAGTATCGGAATTTCCTCATTGGCCCCATTCAAATGCAATACTATTAAATTTTCGTTTGTTTTTTTTTGCCTTCGACTCATTACAATAATAGACAATATAGAAATCCCACATCTCATACAAATCGTTTACACACGCATAACGTATAATGTATGAAATAATAATCTAAGTTGCGTTCAAAATTCAAAATCACAATAATTGATAACTGTTTCGACAAACACACATACACTCATAGTGAATACAATGAATACATCATAGTGCGTTTTTTGTGGGCAAATATCGAGTGAGTTAGGTTGAACAACATGCGGTTATCCAATGATAATTTTGTTGGATAAAAGAGAGAATGTCAACTGAAAATGTTCGGTTGTCGTTTGCACGTACAAAGCGTACTTAGCGATAAGAACAAGCATGGAAATCTCTAATATTGGAAAAAACTGCATTGAATACATTCATTATCATATATGCCGATAGGACAGTTGATAATAATTGGTCAAAATGTCAAATAACTAAAGCCAACAAAATACGATATTTAATCACTACGATATAATAATCAATGCAACCCATACAATGTGTGTGAACATTTATTTTATGAAAAAAAAAAATCATTTCGTAATAATCAATTTTCGTTTCAATTAAATCGTATTTCAGATGCATAGTGGCAGCTCAATAACTCCTGAAAATCCGGCCTTTTCCATTTCAATTGGCATCTCAGCGCTCATAATCGAAGGAAGACCATTATATGATGACGAGTACACTTGTGACTCAGCTGATATCAATCAGCGACGTCTAGGTGATCACCTATTTACGTCAACCGCGCTACCATCAAAATACTCTCGATTGCTAGAATCTCCACAATTTCCATTTGGTGAGTAATATTATTCGTAACACCATCATATCAGAGAAAATAAAATTTGACTCATAATCGAATGAAAATATGAATAACACGCATGTGGTGGAATTTTTGTGCAACTACCGTTTCAATTCGATTGAAATGCTTTTATTTTGCTATTTGATTCTCTTTCAGGTACAAAATTTAATTTGCACACAGTTAAAACACCAGATCGTAATCCATCTTCAGTAGGCATAACCGATACGCCGTCTGGATCTTCAGCATTTGCATCGAAAACTGATTCAACCGAACATTTGGAGCGATTGCGTCAAAAGTTGCATCAACTACGTTCGTTGCCAAGTACAAGCTGCGATTTTGTCGAACAACGTATTGCCGTTTCAATTGAATCACCGCCACCGGCAGCAACATCCAGCGAACCAGACCTTGATAAGGCTGATTGCCTTTTTGATTTTATCTATGAACGTCATTTAGCTTCTCCGGCATCCGCATCGAAGGAGAAACCAACGAAACCGCTCGAACTACAGTTTTTAGGTACGAACAATTGCATTATCAATGATGGGTGATTAATGGTGGACTGATTGGGATTTTTTTTTTTTTTTTTTCAATTTTCCATTTTGCTTCTATTAGCATCGAGACAAACATCACTGCAACGAACACCACGTTCGCTTATCGAACACAATGGTCTATTGCAAACAGTTACCTCTTGGCAAACAAACAATTTTTCGCCAACGAAATTTAGCACACCATCAACAGCATCTTCATCAGAGCTTATGACATCGGGTTCATCGTCGATATTGTCACCGACAACCATTCTCCCCGCCAGCCTGGATTCAAAGAAATTTGAAAAGCGCAATGTAAAAGTGCTCGGACCGCATTGCACACAATTTTTATCGAAAATCGGATTGTTGAAAACACCACAAACGCCAGATTATTCATTCGAAATTGACGACCACCAATGCTTTAAAAGCAGCGAAACGGTAAATAAGAACAACAACAAAAATTGTTGCATTTATGAATTTCACGAATTCAAAATGACAAGTTTAAAACTAAACATGAAATTCGGTCTTTTTTCTGTCGATTTAGTGCTATCGATGGCGACAATGTTACAAACAAATTTTGCCAATATTTGCTCGATGTGAACCAATCTGTATTGAAGTGTATTTGGGGCCAGAACATCATGTTATTCTGTTGGAACAATGGATAATTCAACAAAATCAAGAGTAAGTTCCAGTCACAAAGTGGTTTTGAATAAAGTGATTTTAATGATGGTTTTCATTGCAGTCCGAGTCGTTTTTCAATGACTATCCAATCGCTGTGCACTGCCATTCGGAGTCAATTACACTTTTCTCAAATTACTGCTTGGTCAGATCTATTGAAATCATCATCGCCACTCGATCCCGAATTGAAATCAAATCCGCGCATAAAAGCCTCATTGAAAATGCCTTTTAAACCGAAATTGGATATTTTGTATCGCATTCGACCATATAACGATACGACCTCATCATGTTTTTCCACAACACCAATCGTGCACAATTTCCCCGAAACAATGATATCCGAACATCTTTCAATTAAAGTATCATTAAAAAGTTTACCACGCATGAAAGCCATACCGAAGCTGTATGATTCAACGGATATTCTGTGCCGTGATTTGGTAAGTGAAAGTCCAACGACGCCACCGTTAATAGCTGACGATCAGCCCGAATTTGATTGCCACGAAAAGGGTAAACATCGATGCACATTCGATGAGGAATCACCGACCGACGATGCAATAACACATCGCGATAAACAACTATTGAAATATAAAAAACGTTTGATGCGACGAGATAAAAAGAAACGTAATGATGAATTGATCAGTAAAATATCAACCGAATGCAATAGTAGCAATAATGGTGAGAGGAGTGACACAAAACACGTGCAAAAACAATCCATGACACACTTCAGGTAAATATTTTGATGAATTTATACATTTTAACGAGATTTCTCAAATGAAAATCCATTATAATCCACAGTCCGCTTGATCAACACACAATAAATCCGAACAAACCACCATTGTATTCAAGTATGAGCGTCGACGAGTCAGAGCCACAGCTAAGTAGCGGCAATAATAGTAGTTTGACAACAACGGCTTATGCACTAAATCAAACGATGCAATCAATTGGTATGGCTCAAAATACGATGACGTTTACTAAGTCAACACAAACAACTGCCATTGAGATGACATCAGTTGGAACGCAAACTGATGAGTAAGTTACAAAATGATCAAAATGATGAATGATTAATATGGATTAATACTCATCAATTACAATTATTTGTTTTTTTTTTTTTGCATTTCATTCACAGGAATCACCATTACAACGCGCAATCAAACCAAACATGCAACGGCCAAATTATATTCCATAATTGCGATTTTTGTGGCATCGAAATGCAATACTTTTGTTGGAATTGTGATAAGCGAATGTTTATGGAAACAGCTAATTCGCAAGATAATCTCGGTAAAGCTGATCGATTATTGAAAGCAATACAAAGAACACCATCGACGAAACAGGCAAACACAAAAACCAGTTCGCCACGAATAAATGCCAATTATAATAATATTAATAATAACAATTATAATAATAATAATGAAAGCGAGACGAAAAACGATGAAAACATCATCATCTGCAGCAGTAGTATCAGCAACAGCATCAACAACAATTTTAATAACAACAACATCACCACCATCACCACAGCTACAATCACACAACCACAAGCGTCAAACTCATCGTCCAATGTGATTTCGCATAGCAGTAAGGTATGCGCCGTTGCTAGTGATAAAGACCATTGTGATAGTCTAAATAATAAGGATGAGCTAGATGTAAGCGATTGTCGTTCGTGTTGTAAACGACAAAAAACTGTGCATAACTACGATAATGATGAGCGTAATGCAAAATACATCCATAGTATTCACGTAAACAGTCATTCGAATAACAATTTGCCAAGCCGTAGTCATTTAAGAGACGATTTCACTGTGATACCAAATGTCACCAGCTACGATGATGCCAGCACACATTTATTGGTGAAAGCACGTGAGCTTGGTGATTGTTCGGGAAGCTATCGACGCACAATGTCCGAAAGTGTTGTTGGCACATGTCATACAGCCATCGAAAATTGTACAAAGCCCGGAATTGATATGCTACAATGCGATTCGATGAATATATTAACCGATAATGAGTTGAAATTGTATCGGCGTGCCTATTCGGAAGACGAACTGATTTGCAATTGTGATGACAACCGTCCCAAGCAATTAGATTTAAATACGACGAATAGCCCACCAAGTTCAAATGATTTTCCATCATCGAGCAGCGACATAATTTACAAAACACTGGCCCCAGATCAAACGGATCATTTTAAAACGCCAATCGCCAAACAATTGGCCAAAACTTGCACCGCTTTCGACAATCAAATAAAACCAATTTATATTGAATGTCGGAGTCGTGATGACGAAGAATGTTCACAGGATTCAATGACATTGAGCACATCAAAATCGCTGCCCAAAATCAATCTTACAAAGCTATTCACTAAAGAATCAAACGCAAATGACTTTAGTAGCACGCATGAATTGGATCTTAACACAGAAATGCGAAATATCTCACAAGCATCGATGCCGATTTTCTCATTCGATTTTGAGAATTTGTCACCGCCACTATCATCGCCCACGGGCAGCGGACTTGTTCAAAAATCGAATTCAGCACCATCATTTCAATATTCGCCGCCCACACTATCACCACGCTTCTTAAAATCGGCAGCTGCAATAAAGCGTCGTTCACGCCATTTATCGGATCGTTCGTCGGAACGTCTTTCGATTGGCTCCGATGATCATTTATCCGATGAAGAATTTCATCAATATTGTCTCGATCCAGATTCGGAATATCGACCGGGCATATCACCAACAAAGGCCACATTAAGATTCTTCCCAAAGAATTATGCATATCGAAAACGTGCATTGCTTGGTATGAATTGATTTTATAGCCCGAAATTTTAATACGAAATCCAATAAACACATTCTCTTTCTATTGCATTTCAATATTAGGTTCATTTGAAGAGTCCCTGTTGCAACGTCGATTCGAACCGAAATTTTTAGTTCCCGGCTACAAAGTTTTGCTAGGTGCATCCGGCTGTTACTGCACAAATCAAATCACAATACCAGCTTATACCTTCTTTTATGAATTGAATGATGAAGTGCTGAGTACACCGTATGTGGTAAGTATTCACCATATTCCAATATCTCGGTATGAAAATGTTCCAATTGAAATGTCATTTAAAATATTATTGTGTAGTGTGAAGTAAGTATGCCGCCAAGGAAAGGCTATGTTATACCACGTACTGGTCATGTACAAGCAACATTGCTCAATCCAAATGGAATGGTTGTACGAATGTTTGTGGTTGCTTATGATTTTCGTGATATGCCGGCGATGTGCCAAACATTTGTGCGTCAAAGAATATTGTCGTTTGATGAGAATGCGAATCCAGGCCGAAGTGTTGATGATCTCAGTCCTGCCGAGCAAATGAAACTGTTACGTTATGCCATTCACTTAAGGTACAGTTCATGTCACGCATTTGAAAAATTCATTTGAAAAACTCTATCGATTATTAAATGTGTTACATTTTTGTTTTCATCTCGTCATTTTATTAGATTTCAAACAACGCGATCAGGGCGTTTGGCTTTGCATGGTGATATACGGATGCTGATATCACGTCGAACCGATTGTGATACAGCGGCTGCACATGCCAAAGGTGCTCCAGAATCTCCAAGTGAATTGAAAACGGTTACAATTGTTCCAGAGAATCCAAAATTCAGTCCACGTTAAAAAGAATGCAACGCTTTTTTCCCTTTTTTTTCTCTTCAACTTCTTAAGAGATGCTTTGACACTCATTACCATATTATATTTGATGGTAGTAAATACAATTGAACCGGATAAATTCGTTGATTGACCACAGTCGATTCATTTAAAATCACTAAATATTCAACAAATTTATCTGTTATGTATATACTCCGATTCGAATGATATAATGAATGAGGGGAAGCCGTTATAAGCAATACACACTACTCAAAAAACACAAAACAATGAAAATCATTAATGAAAGTGAACATGAAACACCAATCAACTCAAGGCCACTAATCAATTCTCAACTCAGCGAATTTGATAAACACAATTGTTTTTTTTTTTAAATAATTAAAAATTGGTTTGAAGTTGAATGAGAAGTGAAACCCAAAAAAAATGATGCGAAACAAAAGAAAACGAAAACAAATCAATCCATACTTGATTAACGATTCAAGACATTTCTTTGTGACAAATTTCTATATATAATATAAATATTTGTCTCTTCGCCGCCCCATTAAAAAGCAAAACATACAAAATTGGCTATAGATTTGTATGAAAAAGCAGGAATATTAATTATATACAAAACAAAATTTTATATTTAACAAAATTATCGTTACATTTTACAAATTGAATCGTGATTTTTTTCTCTCATTTTTGATTAAAATGTCAAAGTAAAAATTAAAAACAACATCAAAATTGGCAAAACAAAAATGCTTTAAATAAAACACATATACGAAAAGGGGTGAAGTGCCATAGCTCCGCTTGTTATGTGTTTGTGATTTGTTACGAATAAGTTTCATTTAATAAATTAAAAAAAAGCAAAATTACATGTGCTCGTTGCATCAGGATGACTTATAATTAATTGGTCTGAGATGCGTCGAGTATTAATATTTGGAATATAAAAATGAAAACACAGAATAATCTAATATATTTGTACACTAAAAAGCAGATTATTGATTTTTTTTTTTTTTTTGGAAACTCATGATTTTTCGGCTTCACTCTTCCCTTTCTTTTGATTATGATTTATTTTTTTGGTTTTGATTTGTTTTATTATTCTTAAAACGTACATGAAGTAGTGTTTAAATTACACATTTGATTTAAAAAAAACGGTTCAGTCATTGTCGTTAAAGCGAAAAAGGCTGCTTTTTTCGAATCTTCAAATTTTTCGAAATGTTGGCTAATTTAAATTGTACAACTCGTTCACAATTAATTTATATAATCTGAAAATCCAAAAATGATTTTCTTTTCAATTTGATTTTTTTTGCCATACTTTACTTATTATTTTTTTTTTTTTTTTGACCAAAAACACAAAATTGTCAATAGCATCAATTGACAAGCTTTTTTCGATGCAACCATTTAATACGGAATTTAAAAACACAAAAAAACGATAAAAAAAATATTTATTTTGCTGCAAAGTGATATAAGCGTGAAGCCAATTGTAAATATGCAAATATTTTGTGCGAATAATAATGCTCTATATCATATATATAAATAAATAAATCTATATATACAAACTTATATTTTATTTGAAAAAGAAAATTTAAAAAAATAAAAAAAATATCGGGAAAAATGCCCATCAAATTATTTTACTGACAAAAAACAAAACAAAATGTTATTTGTAGTGAGAAAACAAATAATAACAACAACTTAGAGTCGATCATGCTTTAAAAAATCCGATCTTACTTGAAAAAATAAAAATGAAAGAAAAACTAAACCAATAACAAACCTACACAACGTAACAAAAATTAATAATCACTGTACAGTTTTATAATGCCCTCACAATTTGTTTTGCAATTTCCCGACAAAAAAAAATTGCTATTTTTTATAACAATCCTAGAAGTGATTTCAATTCAGCTCGATTTTATTAATTTTTGCACTATAAAATTGGAATTGTTAATGTGTATTGATTTGAAAGTTGTTTCTTTTTTTGTACAGAAATTGAAAGAAAAACCCTCTAATTATAATGGTAGCGAGAACTCATGGAATTTATATGTTTTGCATTGGATGTAATTAATATTTGGTGTTGAGAAAAAAAGAAGAAAAATCTGTTTTAAAAAAATTAGGCTTTTAAAATTTAATTCTCTTATTTGTTCATTTGGTTTCCTTTTTTTATCGAGAAAATTTCAGAATATCGCTTATTCATTTAGTCAGAGTAAAAAATTTTCGATTTTAATTAAATGGGCAAGAAAAAAAAAATACTTTAAGCATGACGCAATTATATTAAAGTTATTCAATAAAAATTTAATAAAAGAATCCGGATTTTATTTCAAATTTTTGTATTTCAGTTAATTTTTTGTGTCATCTCATAAAAGCTGATTAAATGCATTGGAAATTCCAGTTTGGAATGTCAAAAACCTAACCTCAATCATAGAGCATGTCTTGCTTTGTTTATTGTTGATCTAAACTGTCAAATAAATGCGTTCCGATCGCGTTTCTTTATTATAAGTTGAAGTTTTGTGTATTTTAGTCATTCAAAATGTTCGAAGGTGATTCCGATTATATCGTTGAACAGTATATTAAACCAAAGAGAGTGGCTGTTCCGCTGATAAACGATGAAAGAGCGGATATACTTGGAAACTTTGAAGACGACGATGATAAACATGGAAAGAAGAAATCGAAAAAAGTTAAGGAAGTTGTGAATATTTCAGAGGAAAATCCATTTGCCGATGATGATGATGATGATGATGCTGATGATGGTGATATTATTGAAGATGTAAATGCCAGCGAAAATGAGGAACAGAATGGTATTTCTGAAGAAGGAGAAACAGAGGAAGGAGAAGATGTTGATGAAAATTTTGAAAACGATGACGAAAAAATGGATGAAGTTGTCGATGAAAATCCGAGCTCCGATGAAATAACAAATGTGCCACCCACCAAGGTGACCGCAAAAAAACAAACAAAAACCAAGAAACAAAATGTGAAAACGACCGAAATGAAGAAACAACCGATCGAAAAGAAAACCGATTTAACTGATGAACAAATCAAAGCTTTAGTACGAGGCGCCAGCAAACAAGATCGATTTGTGTTGTATGTGACAAATTTAAATTACTCCACAACACGAGATACATTGTCGGAATTCTTTGAGGCTGTTGGTTCTGTTAAATCGGTTCGAATACCAAAAGTACGTCGCAGTGCATTTGCCTTTGTAGAAATGAGCGATATGACTGGATTCAAGGTATGTTCACATTTTTTACTTTTTTATTAAAGCAAATAACCAAATATCGATATTTCAGAATGCATTTACGCTGCACAATCGAACGCTTGACAATTATACAATTAAAGTGCAAATATCGGAGGGTGGCAAAAAGAAATCGGCAAATAAGAAAAATATTCTAAAGCAAAAAAATCGCAAATTGGCCGAAATGAGAAACGAAGGAAAGGCATTCCAGCGCAGTGGGAAGGGCTATGATAAAACAATAAAAAAAGAAATCAATCAACGGAAAATTCAACAGAATCGACGATTGGCCAAAAAACAAGCGAAAAAACAGTTGTAAAAAAACAAATTGTAATACACATAAAATCAGGCTATGGCCATGAATCAATTATTACTGGCATAATTTTTTTTTGTATTTTATGAATGACCCAAACCAATTATTTAAGGTGCTGTCTCTATCACTCTTTCTCTGAATCTGATTCAATAAATTTCATTACAATTTGACCGTTTGGCAAAACGGAAGAATTGTGCATAATTTTTATCAAAGGTTTTAATTGAATAATCAAAAAATCCCCACGAAATAAACAAATTTTACAGTGGCAAGACACAAGTCACATCATTAGTGAGGAGAGCGCACGATTCATGGACAGTATGGTTCTCAATTCATTTGAATGGCAAACTATGTGATGCAATTTCAGTTACATCTTATGTGATATACACTTTCCGGGCGATTCGATGCAATGCAATGCATATACACGTAACAGTTTTTGTGAGTTTCACAGTTGGAAACTTTGAATATTGCTCAGTCGATTCAGTGCAGTTGAGTTGAGTTAAGTTTTGTTGAATTAGTTTAATTTGGAATCATGTTGTGATGGTGCTGCATTTTATCCAGTCGCTGTGTAAATTTGATTCGTAAATTTATTTCAATCAGTTTTTGTGTCGACTTTATTTTTATTTAAGAAAAAAAAAAAGAAAAAAACAAACAATGGATTTCGATAAAGTTTTGGAAGATGTTGGCTCATTCGGCTTGTATCAAAAATTGGTTATAGCCGTACTATTGCCAGCCGTGTTACCATGCGCATTTCATGCTTACAGGTGATTATTTGCTTGAGATATGACATTCATCAAGTTATTGTCTTTACACCGTCAAAAACTGGCTGTCTTTGTTTAATTCATAATAAGCAGTGTTGTACAATAATTACATATTAAATTTTGTTTATTATATATTTGTCATGTTTTCTATTTTACCTTGAACATGTATTTAAAGTCAACTGTTTATAGCATCAACACCGAGTCATTGGTGTCGCATTCCAGAGCTCGATCCATGGTACGCGGATGTACCCGAACTCTTAAAATCGTTGAGGTAATAAATGTACTTGATGCCACCCTTCTCGTTGAAATTTTTGGCATTAAATATTTTGACAAATGTAGCGAAAGATTTAAAGAGAGAAAAAAAACCATTTCCACTTTTTAGCATACCATTGATATTTCACGATGGACAGAGGATCTATTCACAATGTGAAATGTATTCACGAAACTATACGGAAATTCTAATGATGTTGCATACAATGGACACACAAAAACTGCGAAACAAAACTGAATTGTATTTGGATCCATTGAATTCAACAACTCGAAATTATGAAAGTATTAAATGTAAAGATGGTTGGATTTATAATAGAACCATGTTTCCAAACACCGTTGTTATGGAGGTGCTTGTCTTGTGAATCTCATTTTCTTTGCATTATTTCATTTATGACAAAATGTGACTGCTTTTTGTTTGTAGTGGGATCTTGTGTGTGACAAAAATTTTTATCCAGCATTGGCACTCGTTCTATTCGGAGTCGGTGGTTTGATTGGCAACTATTTGTATGGTTTTCTTCAGGATTATTGGGGTCGACGGCCATCATTTTTTGTGTATTTATTTTTGGAAATTGTTGCCTGTGCATTGAGCTCAATGACATGGAATTTCACATCATGGGTGATATTTCGTGTCGTCGTCGGATTCACTGTTCCAGCTATTTTGGCCAGCCCATACGTGCTCGGTTTGTTTTACTTACAATTTTCATTTTATTTTTTTATAAATCGATTTGTTTTTGGTAATTTAAAATTGAAACGCATAGCAATCGAATTGGTTGGACCGAAGCATCGTGTATTCTGTACAATTGTATTGAATATTGCGTATTCAATTGGATTGGTGCTGTTGTCAGGTATCGTGTATTTTGTTCGTGATTGGCGTTATCTGTCGTTGGCTGTATCATTGCCGCTTTTATTATTGTTTTTCTTCTTCTTCACTCTGCCCGAGAGTCCACGATGGCTTGTCGCTACGGGAAAATATCGTCGTGCCGCTCGTATAATGAGCGAAATGGCTCGATTGAATGAAAAAGTGATTCCAGACGATTATGAGGAGGTGTTACGACGCTATTTCGATCCAAATATGAACACATCTTCAAATGATCCAGTATCAAATGATGCGAAATCAGCATCATCAAATATTGGTGTTTATGATTTATTTCGTACACCAAATATGCGTGCAAAAACGTTAATTATAACATTTATTTGGTTTGCAAATACATGCGTTTACGTTGGTCTGAGCTACTATGCTCCAGCATTAGGTGGTGATGAAATTTGGAATTTCTTTTTGGCCGGTGCTGTTGAGTTGCCAACATATCTATTTTTGTGGCCCGGATTAAGTTGCATTGGACGTAGGTGGATTTTATGCGTATCGATGTTGATCGGTGGCATTGCATGTCTGCTCACATTTTTAGTACAAGAAGATCAATTTATTATGCTGAGTTTGTACTGTATTGGAAAAATGGGCATTTCATCGGCGTTTGTTGTGCTGCCGCTAGCCGCATCCGAACTCTATCCAACCGTGGTTCGTGGTTTGGGAATGAGCATTAGCTCAGTCATCGGAATGATTGGACCAATCGTTATACCAGTTATAAATTATATGGTGCTGATGAATGAATTGTTTCCTTTTTTCCCTAGTTTTCATTTCAATTTTGTATCCATTTCATCTGCAGGGAAGCAACATGATGGTCTTACCTCTTATTATCATGGGATGTTTATTAACACTTGGTGGCATAGCTAGCCTATTTTTGCCAGAAACGATGAATCGACCGTTACCACAAACAATTGAAGATGGTGAAAATGTGCCGTTGTCGAATCCATTTCGACGCAATCGAGATACAGCGACCGAATTAAAAACCATCAATAATTAAAATAGCAATAATATTGTTTATTTATTTGTTCTAATTATGGTTTTGTTTGTTGAAAAAAATAATAATATAAAATTGAAATAAATGGAATTCACATTGGTGCTATTGTAGAAGTAAACGTGTTCAGTAAACAAGCAAAATAGAGCTCCATCTATTGAATAAAATTGGAAGTAATCAAAGCATTTGTTTATCCTTTTGTTTGCGTCAATCCGTATCATATTGAATTTATCACGTACCGGGTGCCAAAATCATAATGCAGACACATATAGGCAGAACATTAAAACCAACACATACAAACAAAATGTAACCATATTGGTGACATTTCATTCGAAAAATCGTACATACAAACGAATCCAAATCCAAATGATATAAGCACAAAGAGCTGTTTGATTTTCTTTTTTGTTTATTATGCAAATTTAAGCTTATATGTTAGAATTGGGCAATCACAATTTAGTTTAGTTTCTAATGCAAAATTGTGAAATCAACATTTATTGAAGAAGAACAAAAAATAATTGTGAAGTGCAGTGGAAACGAAATCAAAATGCTTATGGAAACGAAATTATCGATTGTACATTTATTGCTTACTACATTAATATTGGCTTGTTTTTATGCCGAAATTGAGGCGGCCACAACGCATAAACATGGACATCATCAGGGAGAGCGTCTGGAAGATGGTGCGTATCGACCACGAGATTTAGATCATCATGGCGCAGATGGCGAACATATGACTGAATTCGACCATGAAGCAATGCTCGGCAGTGTCAAGGAAGCTGAAGAGTTTCATCAGTTATCGCCAGAAGAATCAAAACAACGACTGAAATTATTGGTCACCTCAAAAATCGATACAAACAAAGACGGATTTGTTGACAAACACGAACTGAAAGCGCACATTTTACGATCGTTTAAGTAAGTAAATACAGAGATAAATTGAAAAAAAAAAAAGTTTTGAAACCATCATATTTTTCCTGTTTTTTTTTCGTTTGATTCAATGACTATTTTATTGAGTTCTAGAACAAACCATATACGTATATGTGTCGAATATTTATTTATTGTTTGGTTTACAGGTCCTTATCAGAGGAAGAATCAAATGATCGATTCGACGAAGTAGACGAAAACAATGATGAAGTTGTAACATGGACGGAATATCTCAAGGAAATGTATGATATGGATTCGGAAGATGATCCAGGCGTTAAAGTGCCGGTTGGACTCGAATCGGAAAATAAGCTACTAATTGCCGATGACAAACAAGTATTTGAAGCGGCTGATTTGAACAAAGACGGCCAATTGAATCGTGAAGAATTTGTTCTATTTATAAGTCCCGAAGAGCATCCGGTTATGTTGCCAATTATTTTGAATCAAACACTTCGTGACAAAGACACCGACAAAGATGGTATTATTAGCTTCCAAGAGTATCTCGGTGAATCGGCCCGAGACCATGATAAAGCTTGGCTCATTGCCGAAAAAGAGCGATTCGATAGTGAACACGATAAAGACGGCGACGGTTTACTCAACGAAAATGAAATTTTGAGCTGGATTGTTCCAAGCAACGAGTATGTATCATTTCAGTATAGAAAATTCGATTTGGTGCTAGCATACGGATAAATTATATATTTCTTTATTCTTCTATTACAAAATAGTGATGTTGCAACAGACGAGGTCAACCATTTATTTGCTGCAGCAGATGGAGACCAAGATGATCGCTTGAATTACGATGAAATCATAGATAATCATGATCTATTCGTTGGCAGTGAGGCAACTGATTATGGTGACCATCTTCAGAATATTGACAAATTCAGAGACGAACTCTAATTATTTCAATTCATGATTTGATTATGATTTCAAACCATTCGATTCGATTGAATTTTTGTTGTATTTATTTTGTTGCGTTGCACAAATTCGACCGCAGCTATTAAAAAAAAAACACTCCAATTAGATATCAGCAAACAATGTTCGTATTGGCAATTATGGAAATATTCGAGTCTGACTTCATGCAAACGTAGCAAAATAGATTTCAACACCAAATTTCATCATTCGTTTTGTGACTTGATTTACAAAGCGCAACAGTCAACGCCCATTATTTGATTTTCTTGGAATGTCATAGTAAGAAAAAGTGGGATGCCATTTTGTGAGGTTCAATTTTTTTCAATTTTCCTTCATTTTTTGTGTTACCAAAAAAAATCCACTTGAATTTCTCCGTTCAGTCATTTATTTAATTTATTTCATCATCTAATATCATACATAATTGTAAAAAAAATCTTCTATATTTGGATCATTGAATAAAGAGTAGATAGAATTTTAATGAATTTCTGCGTTTTTTTCATTATATTCGTTAGAAGAGCTTCCAGGGAATTTTGTGAGCAACCAATGTCATTGTAAGACTTTGTCGTACCAATTTCTATTTTACAGATTCATGAGAAAAAAACCATCAATTAAATAAAACAAAGACGACAAATTACTAGTTTTAAATTATTATATTTTTAACACAGATTTATCAAACGAGACCAGAATAGTTTGTGTGTGTATGTGTCTATTCAAAGTTAACCTGGGTACATGGTATTGATTTTTCTTCGAAAAAATTGTTGTCAATCTTCATTATTTTTTTCAATGAATGAATGTGCTAAAGAAAAAATGGTTCAAAATGCTTTTAGATCTTATGTTTTCACTTCATTCATTTTAATATAAAAGCTAAAAAAGAATCGCCCTTAATTTTTATTAGGAATTAGCAAATTGATTTCAAAGTAAAATCATCATTTTAAATGCAGTTAATTTCTATCCGCTGAATGTTTGTTTGTGTTTGTATTTGATCTGCATCTCTTTTGTTTCGTTTTTTTTATTTCTAACAAAAAAAACATCTAGACTCTAGTCTTTGTGATGATGTGTGACGGAGCTATCTTTTGTGATGGAGAAATCTAAACGCGTCCATACGATGACAATCAAAAATAGTGCATACAAAAATCCAATGATCAACAATGGCTCTTGTATCATAAACGCTTTGCTGAAAGTGTACTTCAAATTGAAGTCGGCAATATGATTTTCGACAAGATTTTGTTTGCTAAACACGATCACTGGACGACCAACCGTATCCAAATAGGTGTAATGAACTTGGTCCGGTGAACGGCTTACCGAGTATGGTGGAATCAATTTAATGTTGCTTGTACCTTCTGGCAAAATAATTTTCACCGTTGCCTTTTCAATCACCATATCATCGAAAACATGATCAATAACACGCATTTTCAACAAGTATTGATCACCGCTGCTGAACAAATACTCAAAGCTTGGCACATTGTAACCAATAGTGTAGTGTGTTTTCCATCCGCCAAACAATGGGAAACGTGGACGCAAATCCAATTCAACTGAATCCTTCAAAATGCGCATAGCCGATGTGGAAATGTTTCCATTTGTATCTCTGCAATAATAACACGTCTCATAAGTTCGATTCGAAAGAAAAATTGGCGATAGAAGATGCTGTGAAAGTTAATCTTACCTGTAGTAAACTTCAGTGGCTGATGCCGGTAAAATAGTTTTGTATGATTTAACGCTTGGGTGATTGTTACGTGCATCCTTTTGATAATCATAGCGTGAGAATGAACCTTTCAATCCAGCGCCCGAATGCAAAATGTCAATGGTTTCTTCAACAGCGATATTGCCCCAGTGTGAAAGTTCGATGACACGTTCCAAGTTGGTGATGGTTAGGAATGGCGAATGATTTTCATAGTGAACTGTGATTGGTTCACTTGAGTATGCTGTTTGATAAAAGAATTACATTTAATAATAATCAACAAAATGACGAAGAAAATAGCTTTGACTCACGTTCAACATTCTCGTATGGTCCGTACGTTATTGTACCGTCCGCATGCGATGATGGTTTGACGGTGGTATAACTTTCCACTGATTTTGAAGCAAGTAAAACGGTGGTTTTTTGTGAAATCGTCTTGTACGGGCTATAGAAATAGGCATTACCGAAGTAACGAACCAACTGTCGTTCATTTTGTGTAATTTGTGTTGGATATGGTTCCAACGATTTTGAAAAGACGGTTTCAATATGTAAAACTGGTGTCGGCGATGAACTTGTCACGGAAACGGTGAACAATGAACCGTCGGCTGTCTTTTCTTCCGTTGCTTTCAATTCCTTTTTAAGAGCATCACGAATCGAAATGTATGCCAAATTGTCACGGACATCTTTAGTCACAGGAAATGTATATGCAACGCCTGAGAATTCCTTTTTCACCTTATTTTCCAATGTTACTTTATGCTGAACTTTAACTAATTGCGTGGTCAAATCGATGGTGCGTTCAACATTTTTATTTTGAATATTTGAGTCGATTTGTACACCGGCCGCATTAAATGCAACCAATGAAATGGTAACTATTGCAAAAACAAAATGATTTCTCATTTTTGTTTAATATTCTCCAGCCAATTTACCGATGAAATGCTTAAAAGCCGACAACAAACCTATTATTACCGCACTGAATCGACCGAGAACAAGAAAAAGATATATTAGATGACACGACACGCATACTAACTTCTGTCAAAATGTCAAGTTGGCAACAGAACACAGTTGGTACACATGAGTGACGAAACACATTCAATACACCGATAAAACGATTGTCAACATTTCATTTTCGAATTTTCACATTTTAAATGAAGAACCAACCAAATAACGTATATCATGAATTAATTTTGGTTTTATGACATTTTCTAACCAAATTTAAATGAATATGAGATAACTTTTTTTAGCAAAAAAAAAACATTGATACATTTTGTGGTTAAATAATCTATAAAAAAATCGGTGAGCAATCTCGGTTAGTTATGTTTTTGTGTTCAGTGATAAAAAGATCACTGTTACTTAATTCTTTATAAAATGCATGTATTTTTTTAATTTTTGATTAGTTTTTAAAGAGCATACAAACTCTAGGCATACAAACACCTCTACAAGCAACGTAGTCATGGTTCAGAATAAATTTAATTTGATTGTTGCAGCATGTGAAAATTCGGGCATTGGATTTAAAGATAAATTGCCATGGAGTTTAAAGAATGAATTGAAGCATTTTCGCAAAATGACCACATCAACGGCGGATCCGATGAAAAAGAATGCAGTCATTATGGGCCGTTTGACATATTTTGCGATTCCAGAGAGTAAACGACCGTTGGCCAATCGATTAAATATTGTTTTATCGAATACAACGGCAGCTACCGACTATCCACATGATGTGATTCTTTGCTCCAGCTTAAATGAAGCAATGACAAAACTCATTGGAACGGATTTGGGTGCAAATATTGAAACAATTTGGATTTGTGGCGGTAGCCGAGTTTTTAATGAAGCAATGTCATCAGATTATTGTCATCGCATCTATTATACTGACATCAAGGCGCCGTTCGAATGTGATGTATTCTTTCCAAATATTTCAAGTGCATTCAAGATTATTCCGAATGATGAAGGCATTCCAACTGATGAACAAGAGGAAAATGGAGTCAAATATCAGTATAAAATCTATGAAAAGCAACAGTTGAACAACACATTCTGATTTTTTTTTTGTATTTTAATCCAAAATACTAAAAATATTTTTAAGAGAAAAAATGATGTTTTTATTTTTTTTCTCAAGATTTTGCATAATACTCTGATTGATAATAAAGAATTATAAATATAAAAAATGGGAACCACTATTTCGTAGGTAAACGATTTGATGATGGAAATACTTAAAGTTTGAGTATTGTAGATTAAGTACTGACCTTAAAGTCGATTCTCTGTCGCTATTCAATTGACATTTGCTTTCTGTGTATTTTATTCATGTACAATTGTTCAATTTCTGTGCTTCATACGGGTCGCGTGTGGCGAGCATTCCTCAGTATGTGTTTTGTATTGGCCATTGGAATGACAACAATTATTTTTTTGTTATTCAAAAGCGAGTAATCTCGCGTTCTTCGATCGCGATTTGTGACGATTCAACAAAAATCTATGTGCATTGAATTGTTGTCGAATCAATTGATTGATCTAGTTGAATTCTTGTCCAAACCAAATTAATGACGTCACTGTCAAATTAAATTGTGCTAATTTCTTGCTATTTTAATTGTAAATAAAATTGAATGGTAAGCATAAATGATGTATACGTGAAATTGTTATGGAAATAGAAAATGAATTTTTAATAATCGCATTATATATTATAGTATAATATTCTGTTTTGGTAGAAGGTGAAATATATTCAGTGTGCAAAATATTTATATTTCGAATGTGATACAAAAATAGAGAGAAATCGGTGTTATCAACTGCAATTTTGATTATCCTATGCGTGAGTCTCTTTTTCAGCAAAAAAAAGCGAAAAGAAATTGGAGCACTCAATTTAGGCCAATAAACTGATTGGGGTCAATATGATACAAATCGAATCTTTGGAAAATTGTATTGAGAAAAGTGGCAAGTTGCAGTTATTTTAATGATATACAAATCGTAATTACACCTCATTTTCTATGCAAATTGAGGCCAATACAATTGTTGTTTGAAGAAGACAAATTCAAATGTGAATGGAATAAAAAAAAATAAACATTCGGCATGAATTATTTGTGTGATTTCCTTGTTTTGCATTCGAAAGGGTTATATCGACTGCAATTTGGTGTCATGTATGCGATCATACATGGCGCGCAACCGTGACCTAGTTCATGAAAACATATGTTTGTCGGCCTTGTAATAATAGCCATGTTCATAAACCAATTTACGTCTTGTGAGGAAAATTGAATAAGTGTTTTTCTCCTGCTGC